AGGTTTCTATTTTTACAAAATATTTCCGCCATAAAAAAAAAAAAGAAAAGTTCCAAAAAGGAACAGTTAGTGTATCAGCTGTACAAAATAATCACCATAGGTATATTTTAGAAGAAGATGGACTGGCATCATGGGAAAGTTTATTATTTAAAGAAGGAGCCAGATATATTGGGGGGAATTCCCATTAGCACAACAGAAAGTATGAAGAATATACTGAGCTTCCATATACGGTGCTGGCCATTCCAGGTGTAGGTTACTCAAGCCATTTAAAGTCTTGGCTCCATCAGTGAGTGCTACACTCTTCAGAGTCTTTTTGGGGTTGCTGACATAATGATCCACTCCAGGCTGGGTGCTGCCTGAGCCACTGTGCTCTCCTGCACAGTGTTTGAAGAGTGGGACGGGGTGCAGCTGTGCGGGCCCCCAGACACCTGAGTGCAGAAGATTGCTGAATCTTGCTTCGTTTCTGTGCTGTTTGGAAAGCTGGACGCTCCCCAACTCTCTCTTGGGTTTGGCTTCCTGTTCACATGTTTTCTGGTCTCATGTCATTGTGCATGAAGTAATAGTCCCACATGCGAGCACCATCCACAATGGCAAGATTTGTGTGGTTCAGTGCAAGTTTTCTAATGAGGACATTTTGGACCTTCCAACAACTCCTTAGGGAAAGCAGTTTGGAACTGTTATTACTTTCCAAGGCATTACGAGCACAGACAGAATGCACTTCTGCAACAAGATGAAAAGCCATTTTTAGGAGAAATTAAAGGACTGCCGAAGAAAATGACGTGTTTACCTCACACATCTATCTCCATGTGTGTATTTGTGTGTACAGTGTAGAAAAATACCTCCAATTCAGTTTAAAAACATCAGTTACTGTTTCAGCGTTTCACTATGAATGGTGCTAGTGTTTTCCACCGAGGACTGTTATTTTAATGACATTTCTCTGCAGCAAAATCTGATGAGTTTACGAAGTTTGAGAGCCAGGAAATGCACTGAACAACTGAAAGCCAAGAGACTTAATTTCAATCATCTACTTACTTTATAGCATGGATTCGTAAGTGCTAAGTACAACAGCGCTAATACAGACAGAGAAGCCAAACCAAACTTTTCAAGTACAACTCTTAAACTATCAAACTCAGCTTCCCAGTATATTATCAGCAGGTGAAATTCTGGTGCACAACTGCATTTATTTGTGGATGTTAATGTCAAATTAATAGGCATAGGTGCCAATGTTTTATAGAATTTTAGAGCAGAAAGGGGTTTTGGATGTCTCCCAATCTTATCTGTGCATTTTATGAACAGAAACTGAGATTCATACGAACGCTCGCTTTCTTGCTCTCTCACTCTCTCTCTCTCCCCCCCCCACACACGCGTTTGCGCAAGACACATCTGAGTCTTGTGCTGAGTCGTTGCTTATGGAAAATATCATAAATCTGGCTTAATAAAAAGAAAGGGCAAAATGACCCAGAGCCAGACCAGTGATGGCCTGCTTCATTCAAGTTTGTGTGGCCCAGCTTCGGCGCCGTGTGGACTGACAATTTATCCTTGCTTCAGGAACCATTCAAGGTCTTAGATTAGGTGTTTTTGACCAAAACTTGAATAAACTCCAAAACAAACCCGGAATCAAGAGGTAACTCAGATCCTGACGATGAAGGGATGCTTCACTGGCGCATCATACTTCCTGGCGGCCACGTTATGATTAGAGTCTGAGATGTAGACGAAGCCCCAGGTATAACCCTCACAATTTAGCAATCCTAAAACCTGATCGAGAGATGAGCCCTCACCCATGTAGGCAAGCAGTGACAACAGTGGGGACTGTATAACTAAATGCTACATTGCATGGCATGGGTTTTTTTTGTTTTTTTTTTTTTTTTGCGAGAGAGAGAATGAGAGAGAGCATGAGAGGGGGGAGGGTCAGAGGGAGAAGCAAACTCCCTGCTGAGCAGGGAGCCCGACGCAGGACTCGATCCAGGGACTCCAGGATCATGACCTGAGCCGAAAGCAGTCGCTTAACCAACTGAGCCACCCAGGCACCCCAATGGCATGGGTTTTTAAGTGTTGGAGTGCTGGTGAGAGAAATGAAAATAGAGGTTGTTAGGAAATGTCAGGATTTCAGCTGATCCCAGAGGGGTGCCTAGAACTTGAATAGGTGGGGGGAATAATGGCGGATTTTTCTAGGTAAAGAACAGCGGAAATGAAAGTATAAAGAGAGTCTCACAGAGCGTGAGGGTGGGGGAAGGAGGAGGGGGGGACCCTGAGGAAGCCAGGCTGGTGGGTACTGTCTTATAGCATTTCCCAACCTGATCAATGGACCACCTACCGAGCCCCCAGTAATGCCTTATGTTATTATCTACTAAAATGTTACTGAAATACGTACCCTAAAAAACGTAAGGATTAATTACTTGAATTATGTTTATATAACTCTACATCCGCAATAACATTATATTTATATCATTGAAAATCCAAGAGAAATTGCTGATTAAATATGAACAAAGCCATAAACCAATAATATTCTCTCTTTTTTTTTTTTGAAGATTTTATTTATTTATCTGAGAGAGAGAGAATGAGAGACAGAGAGCAGGAGAGGGAGGAGGGTCAGAGGGAGAAGCAGACTCCCTGCCGAGCAGGGAGCCCGATGCGGAACTCGATCCCGGGACTCCAGGATCATGACCTGAGCCGAAGGCAGTCGCTTAACCAACTGAGCCACCCAGGCGCCCAATAATATTCTCTTTAATGTTAATTTTCTTTGCCAGATGATGCCGTTGTGCTGAAATTAAAGAAGAAATTTGTTTTAACCGTGTTCATTCATGAAATTATTAAAAAAGAAACACTTTAATAAGAAATTTCTATTGCACACTTAGTACTATGCCTATTTATAACGAATTGTTCCAAGAAGTGCGTGTGAAGGAGGACAGGATCCAAGCAGTACCTCTGCTGGCGTCCACGTTACGGAGCGGAGAACCGTGATGGCTCAGCCATCCTATCACCTTGCTCTGATCTGGCCAACACAACCTCACACAGCACCGCCAGAAGCATTTGCCTCTCGTGGGCACATACGCATCAGCCAGGTATTCAGGCTGCCTCTGTTCTCCCTCTAATAGCCGACAGCAATTAAATTGTTACATTATAATCCCACAGGTTACCAGTTTAATGATGACAAATCAGAGCCCTCGTTTATAAAATTTATGGAAACTCTGCTCCCATTCCATGAAAATACCTTTTGATTGCAAATTACCGCTGCAAGGGCAGTTGTATCTTTATTACAGGCTAAAAAAAAAAAAGATTAACCCACGTAATAACAATGGCCAACGTTTATAGTGTGCTTAACGATGGGCCAAAAATCCTTCTAAATTTTTTACTTGGATGCTAACCTGTCATCTTCCCATCAACCCTATGGGTTAGATACTATCTTCAATCCCCATTTTTCAGAGGCTTCTGAGGCATAGAGAAATTCAGTAACTTGCTCAAGGTCACATAGCCAGTGAATGCTGTAGCTTGGAATTCAGGCATCCAATTCCAGGGTCTGCTGCCCCCAGGAGTATATTCAGAATGATTGCAAAGAGTGTTCTTTGGCATTAGGCTATGCCAGCACGACCACAGGCAGATACTTAGAGCTTCACGCTCCGGGGTAAACATTTACTTGGGGAGATCACAAGGTGTCATGCATAATTATAAACATAAACATCTCCATGTCCTCCAGGAACATATTTAAAAAGTAGACCTCTGTGTGATGCTTATAATAATTTGTAAGATTATCAGAGACATGGGAACAGAGAATGTAAAAGCTGTCCGAGAGCTCAGCACCTCCCAGGATGGGAAGCACAGGGGAGCAGTCAAAAGGCCAACTGGGTTGGGCGTGCCAGATGACAGAGGGTGGTGTAGATGGGTGGTGGAGCTGAGCTTCTGTCAGGAATGGAAAGAGACATGATAAGGGTGGCGTGGGAGGAAGGGTCCTGCAGCCAACAAGGCCAGCACCAGGGAGGCCCTGCTGCGGCAGTCTTGCTATAAGAATGAAGCTTCCAGAGCAGAGCAAAAAGGACTTGGTACTGCCCACACTTAACCTAAATCAGCAGGGCCAGTTCAGATCCAGAAGAGATTCCAGGTCTATTGTATTGAGGGAAATAATCTGTACCCGTTACCTCTGAGATTCCCCTCTGTGCATACCAATAGACACTGGTTTTCACCAGTGAAGAGGTAAGAAGGCTCAAATGAAATGTTCTAATATTTACATGGGCAAGAAAAATACTTTCTAAAGGTAAAGGAAATGTGGGGTTGTTAAAGTGTGTGTATTGCTTTCCTATTCTTTTATATTTCTGATAGCTTATATTTTCTCATAAGATACATATGTTACATATTTTCTATTTCCTCTTTTATACTATGTAGCATATGATGTGTACATGTTAAAATGTGCTCTGCGCTGAGGCAAGATTGCATCATCATATACTGCATTAATCTGGGTGTTTCCTCTTATTCGAAGTATCTAAGTTGATTTTAGTTACTTACATTTTTCACCTGCCATAAATGCAAAAGAGAAACAGATTTAACCACTTGTAAATGCTTACTTTGCTACTCATCAAATAATAGCTTGCAGCAGCTTTAGGAGATTTTGTGAATCAGCACATTTTCCTTCCAAACAGGTCTCATAACCTGAAATTCGAGGTCACTCAACTTTTAAACTTGGAACGCTTTGTAAACTTTTAAAAAGAAATTCTTCTTTATTAGTTTTAGGAAATCTAGTCAGAGAATAATATGAAATGAATCTAAGGGAAAGTCTTTCCCTTGATGAAGAGAGAGACGAATGGGAACTCCTACAAAAGCACTGAATTACCCACCGTATTTCAAAGTCTCTCGCAAGTGATTGTAAGAAAAGCAGTGTGGATAAAATTTGGAGACTATTATTCCTAATGATGTTCCCCTTTGAAGTTTGTGAAAGGGCGCCATCTGAGAGATGAGAGAAGCCACTGATAAAATGCAACTGAGGGCACATTTGCTCTCCTCCATTGTAGGTGCTGACGGCCATCCACCACCGTCTGAAGAAGGTGATTTTGGTAGATGACATGCAGGTTCTCCACGACAGAGTAATTGCAGAAAATCTTCAAAGGTACTCGTAGCAAACATTTATCTCTTGCTTAATTAAGCCAAGGGGCTAATTAAAGCTGAGCACCCCATGTCACTTGAAGAGGGACTGTTTCATGGATGGGGAATTGTAAGAAACGGAGGAGCCCCGCACCTTCCCGTAACATTTTCCTCCTTCCTGGATGAGAGAGCTAAAAGGGGCCTTAAATGGGGTAGAGCCATTGCATGAAATTAGTCTTCAGGAATGGCAAAAGAACCGTCTGAATAATGAGTATCTAAAGAATCAGGGGCGCCCAGCTGGCTCAGTCAGGAGAGCCTGTGACTCTTGATCTTGGGGTTGTGAGTTTGAGCCCCACGTTGGGTGTAAAGCACTTTATGAACATGTCATGGCTGCTCAGGAAGCTCAGGGGAATTTAGAGCCACAGTGAATGGCAGGCCAGCTCCACCCGGTCATCCACACAAATGTCACCTGTCTTGTTCATAGCTTTGCCTTCACAGTTTCTTGCCTTGGCCAAGTGAATATTAGTGCCAGGGTGTTGTGGGGCCAGGAAGAGTTACAGAGACCCACCTAAGCGATACGACGTTAGTTGCAAAAACATTCTTAGGGGTGTTGATTCATATAAGTTTACAGCCCCATGTGTCTCTTCTCAAATGTCAACATTGAAATTTGTTCCCTTCTTCCCCAACCAAACTAATGCAATGGAAACTGTTGAATTCCTGTTGATTTCAAATTGCGGCTCTTCAAAATCATTACCCTTCACTTGCTTTTCATTCTAAGCCTTGCATTGGCCCAGGTTGTCTTGGATAAAGTCCTCTAATCACCAAAAAGTTCGTGAACCTCACACAAAACCAAATGAAATCTTTAGCAGGTCTGGCCTGAATTTCAGGTTTGTCTCTTGAGGACTGATTTATCGAGCTTTTCTTTCTAATACTTATGGAATTAAGCATTTTGTGTCCACACTACAAATGGCAAGTTTAGCAGGGAAATACCTAGAAGTGTACAGAAGTCTGGGGTTAGTTCCTTGACAGAAAATCATGAGCCTTGCCATTTTTTTTCTGTAATTCTCTGTGCTTTGTGTGCAGATGATCTGGGGTATCACCAGAAACATATTGAAGCTGGTTATCCACAAGATAAATCAAAAATAAGAGAAAACAAGTTGAAGTTTAGGTCTCCTTCCTTCAAAACTCCAAACAGGAGAGGAAATAATCCAAAACAGAAACTAAAAAAGGTATCTGTTTAGAAATTAGTTCAATGAACAGTAGAACTGTGACTTCTTAAGAATTCTTCATCTTCTTGAGTCAGTTCTCCATTTTTTTTTTAAAGATTTTATTTATTTATTTGACAGAGAGAGACACAGCGAGAGAGGGAACACAAGCAGGGGGAGTGGGAGAGGGAGAAGCA